CGGGATACATCGAAGTTTACTCGCTAAGATTGTCCAGAATTCGTCGATCGTTTTGAGGTCAGCTTGTTACATAAGTTACTTTATAATTTGCGCCTTTGTTTTATTAATAGTCTGTTTTTAGGGATCAAGTACCTGAGTTTTTGTACACTCTCAGCCAACATAAGGTCCCTGTGTTAATATTCTCTGCTGGCTTGGGGGATGTCGTAGAATTGCTCTTAAAAAAGTTCAAATTATTTTATGAAAACATCAAAATTGTGTCTAACTTCATGTCTTTCAACCAAGAGGTAAATATCTATAGTGTATATATTAATTTTCCAACGAAATTATGATACGGTTTTGGTTTTTTTTATAACTTTATAGGGTTTCTTAGTCGGATTCCAAGAGAAGATAATACATTCTTTCAATAAAAACCCTGCTAGTATATCTAGTAGCGAATTTTTTAAGTGGAAACTACCGCACAGGCGCTTTGTTCTCTTGATCGGGGATTCCACGGGCGATGTGAACATGGCGAATGGTCTTTTCCTTGATTGCAATACTCCAAACTGTCTTTCTAACAGTATCCCTTCAGATGATAGTAGATCTTGCACAGAAGGGTTTTCTTCTAAAGATTCCAGGCCGAACTTATCTTGCTCTTTGCACAATGTCTTCAAAATAGGTTTTCTCAATCACTCGGTATGTTTTTGTTCTATATAGTTTATCCTAAGGCTATTTTTGTAGACAAAAAAATTGTGCGACTTTTAAATTTTCAAGCAAATGCTGATTTATGTTTGATGCCTTCTTTGACTACATGCGTGCTTCATACCTGACCTTAAGTGAACATTAGACCACCCCTGAATTTTCGTATTGTAAAGCCAACGAATGTTTAGAGTTGCTTTCATTTCATTCATCAAACCGGTTCAGACTTGCTTGATACCCTTTTAAATATCAGCGTCTATATTTACAAGCGATTTATAGCAGGCTTCCACCTATAAGTGAAATCAACTAATTCCATAGGCCTCAGTTTGACAAAACAATTTGCTCCAGTTAAGCGCCCAATCACAATTACTTTAAAAGGCTTTAAATAATGTTCTGTACATTTTAAAGTGCCTACGACTGCTTCGTCTGGGGACTTGCATTATATTAGTCTTTATGATGCTGAAAAGTTTTCTCCACCCCAGTATTATACACAAATTGCCACCGTAAATTTAGCACAAATCACAAACTGGCGTTTGTTTTCATTGTTGACCTAACATAAGGTCATCTTTAAATTATTTAAGAAATGCTATGCCTAGTCACTATATCACTCCTAGGATTCTTAACTAAACTGATTTTTTTATTGTATGTCTTACTCGCGTATACTAGCAATTGATATATTAGAAGTATAGCGTGCGTTACAAATTTTTTCGAATGTTAGGGGTCTATGCTATGGACACTATGGCTCATGATTGAGTAGTATATATATTTGCTCATGGAACCTGATGTTTTCTTTGGAATTTTCCCCCATTTAATTTGTTCCATGTCTAATTTTTGAGACTTAGAATGTGACTTGTATTTTTAAGAAATTTCTTATCATATTTCGATTTAGAAGGTATATTATTGACATCATTTAATTTTTTATTTTGCCATGTTTTGAACTTTTTAGTTCATTGCTATTTCATTACTGTTCATGGTAGACAACTATTATTTCCTGCTACCTAACTATCGTTTTAGCCAGTTATTTGATGATTAAATTATACTTAGGTAAATTTACTTTCTTATCGCATTAACAGAGACGGCCTGAGGTACAATAGCTTATTAAGATTAAAAATGGATTTAAAATCTTTCATGGGTCCAGATAAAATGAAATTCCTAAAAATCTCATGCCAGGCTAGTATGCAAGGTGTAACTATAAGAGGCTTCCTGGCTTCAGTAAAGCATCTGTACAAGTATTAAGGTTTTTCTTTTTTCTTACCTCTAGTCTTTATCGATAAATCTTTAAAATGTCTAGTTTTTCACATGAACAATAATGTACATGTATTTTCTGTCAGGTCTGCCAGAGTTGTTTAAGGTTTCGGTATAGCAACAAAGATAAAAAATTAATGTGTCATCTACACATAAAATAATACCCTTGACCATCCAGGGATAAGCAAGAGAGTTAAAT